TTCAGTGTGTGAAACTCTGCAATTAAAATACATTGAAATCCTGTATTGAGGAGCAGTTCAGGATGAATTTGTGAATTGAGTTCAACTTTGGAACTTTTTTTCTCTGTACTTCATATTTTGACAACTTTATTCAGTTTTCCAGTTCAGAAAAACTTTCCTGGAAAGAAAATTACCGGAAAGAATTCTCTTGAACACAAATAAGATTTTACTTCTATCAATCTTCCACTATGTTGTGGTGGTGTCTAAATCTAACTGTACTTTAAGGCAGATTTTTTGGAGGATAAATGAGTGAATTTTTAACCCTTGTTCAGGTTCATCAGTGGCAGCAGGGATGGGACAGCTCGGATCTGGCGCTTCGAGCAGGCCGAGTGGAGGAGCATCCTGCTGGACATGTCTGACCGCCTGCTGGGGTGGGTGCAGTGCTCCTTGTTCATTCCCTGCCCTCCTCTGTGGAAATCCAGATTGGAAAACTCAATTTCTCACATGTGAGAGTGAGAGCAGAATTCTGCTCAAGTTCTGTGGTCTTGATGTAATAATTGCTGAGTTCGAGTGCTTCCATAAATTCCTAAATGTTCCCAAAGCTCTCAAATGCACTCTGGTAATTTTACTGCCTCTTTTCAGGGCAAAAAGTGAACAGAAAGAATTGAACTTCTCTCTCTGGGTTTAGTCTGACACCTGGTGTGTCAGGGGAGAAATATTTTTAGGTTGGTACAAATAAAGTAGGTGGTGACCTATTTGCAGGAGAGGTCATGACATGGAATAGGTGGCTTTGCTCAAGGACTCATCTTCCTGACTGTTTTCTGCTTTTAAAGAAGTGAATCCCATTTTCTGCTTTTAAAATAGTGAATGAATGAAATGCTGGTGGCACACAGTCTGAATAATGTTATTACAGATAAAAATCAGATTATTTTATGGTGTGGGGTAAACCTGAAGGGAGGCTGATTTACAGGAGTACAGAAGCTCAGTAAGCTTCCACAGACACTGAACAGAAATTCATTTGTAGGTGATAAAATGAGATTTTGATTAAATGAGATTTTGATTAAATGAGATTTTGATAAAATGAAATTTTGATAAAATGAGATTTTGATAAAATGATTTGTAGTTGATTAAATAAAAAGCCACACCTTGAATACACCATTTGATTGGAGAGTGATTTCAGGCTTTTCCTGTGATGACAAAGACCATGAAAGAAAGCTGATTTTACAGAGGAGGAGTTATTAATAGTTGAGATTTGACTGTGGCTGTGTAGTTGAGAGTCTTTGTAAATGGAATAAAGATAATTCCATGTAAAGGTGTTTCAAGGAAAATTTATTCCTTGGATTGACTGGAAAAGGGCTGAGGGGCAGTGTTACAGAATCCTATAAATGTGTTTTGGGCAGAAAATAAGGAAATAGATTGAGGTTAAAACAAAATGTTATCTTTCCTGTGTTTCTGTTGGGACTCATTAAAAACTGCTTAGCTGATGTAGAGGTTGGCTTGGGAATCAGTTGGTTGGAAAAGCTGACTGTAAAAAGTCCAGAATTTTGCAGGATTTATGTTTGGACTCTAATTGTAGAGCAGCCAAGATTCCATGAAAAAGGAAAACCTTTTTGCCTTGAATCTCAAATGGGACAGAGATTATCAAGTCCTTTAAAATTTAAAAATCCAGATTTGCTTTAAATGAAGGATTTTGTGCACAAAAATTTCAACCCAGATTTAATTCTTCACTTCCTTTCTGTTGTCTGATTATTATATTTTAATATAGAAATGGGCTAAATAAAATACAAAACACATCTCTGACCTGACTTTTTTCAAACAGTGACACTTGTGCAGAAGAAGACAAATTCATGAAGCCTAAAGTGACCATGATTGCCTGGAACCAAAATGACAACTATGTGGTTACAGCTGTGAACAATCACCTGCTGAAAGTTTGGAATTCCAGCACAGGGCAGCTGCTCCATGACTTGGTGGTATGGGATTTTCCTTCTTTTGTGGGATTTTCCTTCTTTTGTGGGATTTTCCTTCTTTTGTGGGATT